CCCCCCCCTTCACCTCAGAAAAGCAAGCTATTTCTTCAAATATCTCTCTGAAAGAATATAAACTCTGTAAGCCTCTTCTCTATTTATCTGAATTTTCCCATTATTTTCCTTGATGGAACCATCAAATTAGAATATAGCATTCCTGCCCAGAGTGACGTCAAGCCTGCTGCTGTTGTATTTTCCAGTCCCTTCCATCCTGTTTCTTATGAAGTCTGCTGGTCCTGGCAGCTGCTGGTGCCAAGATGAGCAGACATGCACTGAGGAATCTAAACCCTCAGCCAATTCCTCTGTGTATGATTGCAATTTAATTAGCACTCAGCAAGCTGCCAGAACAGGTGAAGTGATTATTTTTGGAATTTGTCCCTTTGTGCTGTCAGTATTTTCTGAATAATTCCATAATTTTTCATTACAATAATCCCCTCTTCATCTTGTTCCAAGAAGGCCAACAAACATAAATGTTATTAGGCATCTCTGTGGAGCTGGAATGCACCTTTTGCTGTTGCCTAACATATATGAAAGTGTAGATAATGAAACAGTACTGAAAGGTAGGATAAACAATCAACACTTAAAGGGCCAGCACTCCCAAAAGCAGAATTAATGCATGGATGAAAGTTTTAATCATGTTGGGAAGACAGTTTGCTCACATGAGAAGACTCGTTTTCAGTTCCTTGCTTTTATAGGTATACCTGTGGTATATTACGCACAGTTAAATAATTATCATAAGAAAAAAAAATGTTTAAATATATATTTTAAAGTATGTGTATATGAGCCTGATGGAAAACTCTAAGCACTAAAGCCTTTGCATTACTGCTGCTCTCCCTTCCCGCCCACACACAGCATGTGTATGATTCGTCCATTCTCTCCCTTTCCAGATGCAGCCAGTTGGACAGAAGCAGCCTTACGGTGTCACAAAAATTGCTGAGGTCCAGTGTCCATCTCAGGTAAAAGGGCTTCCTTATTATTTTGTGATATTATTTACTCTTTGCAGAATTTACAAGTTTTCAAATACTGCTGTTGTTTTCTGAAGTTCTTGGGAATCAGCACTTGCCCGAGTCATTGCACTGTTAAAAACTAAGTGTCCCTAAAGTTCACTGATACAGAGCCTTTATTTTCTACTGATGAAACTCTGAAAAAAAAGAGCTTTTGACAAAATTTAGTTAAATCATCTGTGTCAGATTTTTTTGGGTTCAAAATATATAATCCATGTATTTTATATAAATCTAGCTTTYCTGTGCTTTTCTGTGATTTGCCTCTGCTGTCAGGTTTAACTAATTTAGTCCCTGGAGCTGTCAATAGTTAGGATTGSAGCACCTCAGGTTCAAAGAGCAGGTTCTTGAATGTTTTTGCATTTAAKCTCTGACTTCATTAATTTGATAGTGATAAAATATTACTGGCATCCAAAMGCTTCTGAACAGCAATTAAAACATCAAAGAAGTGGAATTTTGATGTCAAGTTTAAGGCAGGAAGTGGTGCTGTGCCTAGAGCATAGCTAGGACAGGGCTTTAGACCAGGGTGTAACTTTCAAGTCTAACCTGGTTTACTCCACTAATGTAATGTTCATTCAAAAATTAATAAGTAAAGATTTTTTTTCTCTTGGAAAATGTAGCCAGAAGACTCTAGTGTCAGCTGACTGTGTTTCCACTGGTGTTGATAAACATATTCTCTTTACTCTGCAGGAAAATCCGTATTTGTTTACATATAGAAATAGTAACTACTCACCTTCCCTGAGGACATCAAACACCAAAGAAACATCTCAGGTATAGTAGGACTGTTTGCATCAGATGGACTGAGTGTAATCCAGGGAGTGGGGCAAGTGGCTAAGAGTGTGTTGTAGCCTGAATAAACAATGTTACCTGGGAAAACTAAATGCAAAGCTCCAGCTTTTTACTTGACTAAATAGTCAGATCTGTTCAGCTAGCCTAAAGAGAATCTTGCCTTCACTTCACATGGTCAGAACGTATGTTAAACCCCTGGACAAAAATGTTATTTTCCCTGGGATAAGAAGATAGTGAAAAATGGGGCTGTTCAGTCCTACCATGGAAGAACTAGATCAGATCTCTGACCACTGTATGAGTCTCATTTCCTCTCATTTATGCCACAGTAATACTGAAGATTATTTTTTTTTTCTTTTTGTGAGGTAGTTACAGATTAGATGTGTGGAGAAAAAGACCATGATTGTATTTTTTAAGTCAACATACTCTGATTTTGACCAAAACCTTGTATTCCCAAGCAGGTATAGAGGGAGTTGATAATGTTCATTTTCATGCCTCAGAACAGAGTGTCTGGACCACATCTAGACAAAATGGTCTGTTGGTCGCTGGAGTTGTAATGTGCATTTCTGTTMWTATTTTAATATAGTGACATCTGTTWTGTAAGTTGCTTGGGGTGTGCAGACCTCTCTATGGGGCAGTGGTACCTACCACTGTGATTTTTGGAAGTAGCCGTAGTGTAGGGAGTGTAGCGAGGTAAGGAGCAATACTGTGTTATGCTTGTGGTTGTTTTGTTGGGTATTTTAATTAAAAATTAAAAAMGCAATCCAGAACAATGGARCAAGACATTCAAGTATCTTTTCCTWAGGCAAGTTAGCCTTCTTAAKGAATTCTGCAGAGATCTTTGARTCTTGTGTGATGGTTTGCTCTGGTATACTGATGGTCAGCCCTTTATTAACAGTAGATTTTGGGGGTATTTCTGTCAGTGGGCTGCAACCCAAAAGAGCCAGGAGAGCAAATTCCTGTCTAGACATTTGAGGCTGCACATGGAGAAGGCAGGCTCATGGCCTGCTGACAGAAGGATGGATTTGTSCTGGAATGTTCCAGGGATCTTCAGTTTCTTGCTAAAGAAATACAAAGAAATTGCATAGCTGGGCACAGCACGGCACAGACTCTAAAACAGCTGGCCCCACTGGCAGGCAAGAGTTGTGCTGCACTGGTAAGGCCACACAACTTCAGAGTGGGCTGAGCTTGTGTCTGCCTTCRAAGGACACAGACTAAGGGCAGGCTGAGTTGGGTAGATGTTTACAAAGTACGTGGGGATTTCATTAATCTAAGGCTCTGACACATAGATGGTCTATCATGACCAGAGTATAGTGAGACTGATGTGAATTCTTGTCTTGTCTTTGCAGGAGAGGAGCTATGGAACAAATATTCCCTGTACTGACCGGGCTCCCTCTGATACAGTTCCAGTTTCAGGTACAGAACTATGCATTTTTACCATAGAGCTGCTCCATTTGATGATAGAAGTAGAACAGAAATGTGTTTACTCAGGTACTCTTTTCTTTGGAGCAGTGCACTCTGTTAACTGGAGCTTTTAAGGTTCTGTTTGGAACAATGTGAGTAATTTTATAGCAAGATGCAAGCTCTCTGCCTCAAGGGTGGTGAAAGCTTATACAACTTCATCTTCCATGCACAAACAGAGAAGTGATAGTRGGAAAGACAGGAGGCAGTCAGGTCTTTCATTTCCAAGGTGGAAAAAATGTAAGAGGCCCTTGTTAATGAAGTTTGAGGTGCAAAAACTCACATGGAGTTCTGTCCTTGGGTAGGTTTTGTCTTTCCTCGGAAGCCGCAGTGGTCTCAAATATCCACTCTGTGCTGGCTCTAGAGCTGTATCTGCTTTTCAGTCATTTTCACCAATTAAAAGGAATTGGAGTAAGAACAAATACAAGACTGAAGTCTTGCTGCCCCCTTTGTCACTGTAGCTACTGCCCAGCTATGGTACCAAGAATAATTTTGATTTGATGCTTATCAGTCTGTCATTCTGAGCTGATGCTGTTATGAATATTAAAAATAATGTCTTTGCAATGCTTTATTATGCTTATTCTAAGGAAAACTTCTAATGAACACCACAATTTGTAGTTTTCTTTATTTCTTTCACTTACACTACTTTTTTTTTTATCAGTTCATAATTTAAAACCGGCAGATATTCGGGTTATTGCTGCCGTGGGAGATTCACTCACAGTAAGTAAAGATCATTGGATAGCCATTGATAAAGGTAGCAATAAAAAAACTTGCAATGAAATTTCTGATTTTTTAACCTGGRAAATGGAATAATACATACAGTGATGCCTGTTGAGCCAAACATGTTTTTTACATTTTATTTTCCATACTTCACCTTGGCTGGCTGGTTGGTAATCAGATCATGAGTCTAATCTTAGTGCATAGTTCCCATTTAAAGTCCACAAGAGTACCACACAAGGAAGAGATGATAGATTAGATTGGGCAGCAGCAAAACTAACCTGCTAGAATGGACTTGCAACAATTGCTTTTCTTTACTGCCTTTTGGAAGCTCCCAAGGTATTGGCCCTGAAAGCTATTAGTAAGCAGCATGAAGAGGAAGAAAAATTTCTGCAGCTGATGGTGCATATCTGTGTATTTATATAATATGATGAATATACATATATGATAATACCAAAGCCTATAAAGCCATAGTAATTGATACTAACTAAATATATGATTAAAATTGCAATAGAACATCAGATGTGTCAAGTGTAACTTACCTAGAGAATTTTTTTAGCACTATTCCTGGTACTATGTAAGCTCATAACCCCTAGACTGGTTGTGATTCTCTAATCAGTGATGACTGCTTCACTGTTCATATAATAATTAATGTTTCCTACATGTTCTATGCTAATTATCACATTAAATCCTTGTAGTCATTTTCCTTGGAGAAACTGGAAAAGATGTAAAATTGCTGTACAACTTTTTAATGTGAGGAACATTTTAATAAATTATTAATTCAGAACTACTGCTATCTTATTTATTCCTTATGTAAATTTAAAATTATATGAGTATTTTGAACATTCTCAAGTAATTTTCCCCACTTGATCTAATCACAAAGTTGATAGAAGAGGGTAATTCACTGGGACAGAGTTAAAATACTTTTAGCCTTTGATCCTCTTGAGGACAAGGATCTGTTCTATTTTGGGAAGATGACAGAGCTTGCTTCATTAATATGCTTTTTAATTATTCTCTCTGGGATCAGTCAGAGAACTAGTTACTGTAGCAATGCTTATTTTCTGAAGGTGAACTCACCTTCTTCTTCCAGGCAGCTAATGGGGCAGGGTCCAGACCTCATGATGTTCTGGATGTCCTGACTCAGTACCGAGGTCTTTCATGGAGGTGAGTGCCAGGAATTTCCCTCCCCCCCCCCCCCCAATGGGAGAGAATCCATTTTCTTCAGTCTTGATTGATGTATTTATTTTTATAGCACATGGAGGCTTGTGGAGGGTGAATTTGATGTCACATTTTGGATGAAGGCACATGACTATACTGTTACTCATGATAAAGAACATATTCATACTAGTTGGTATCTATAGAGTACAGTGTAATATGGCTGGAATAGACCTGGATACATGGAAAACTGGGGTCCACATGAAAAATTGGTGGTACACAAAAAAATCTTTTCTGCTGCTGTTTCATACCCAATGCCTATTTCCTTGCTCCTTTCCCAGTATTGCTTACATCATGGAGAGCAGTTTATCGATTGTGAGTCAATACAGGCTTTTACATGTGCAGCATGGTGTTAGGCACATCAAAAAGGCACTCTGGAGAAAGGCAGTCATGTTCACTTGTTAATCTGCAACTGTATGATTTAACACCAAACTTGTCAGGCTGATCTTTGTTCATCATTTCCTACCAATCTAAACCACTGCAACTCTAGAAGAAGTTTAAAGTTTAAACAGTTCGACAGAATCACAGAATGGCCTGGGTTGGAAGGGACCTTAAAGATCATCTGGTTCCAACCCTCATGCCATGGGCAGGGATGCTTTTCACTAGACCAGGTTGCTCAGAGCCCCATCCAGCTTGGTCTCAAGCACTTCCAGGRATGGTTCTAGTGCACTTCAAAATATTCTATTCTAGTTTAAAGAGATACTATAGAGGTGTTCCAAGTCAAACATATTTTGATCTTTAATAGTAAAATATTGACATTTTTTGGGAAACAAGTATACTAGTGTTTTTTTCTTCAGCCTGAAGGACAATAAAGAGCACATAGACATAAGGGTGAATTTCACCAGTCTAGTAGTATTCTTCCAGTTGAGTGAAATGGGAGTTGGGGGGAAGGTGGCGGAGGAAGGCAAAGGTATTGGTTTTACTTATCACTCTGAAAATGTATGCTTTTACAACTTTTTATTGTGCTTAGATTTGCTAGCTGAAAATGTAAGTTATGAATATTTTAATATTTTTTTTTCAAGCTGCCACCTTTGCTGTTGTACCTCATTTCTTTCAGCTAGGTTTGAGCATATGCCAAAACACTTGAAAGAGCTGAAAGGACAGCTACTGTACAGGGCTTCTAATACGATTGTCTGCTAATGCTGACAGTGTCTCTGATGTCTCGCTGGGGACACGCACCCCGAGCTTGGGTGGGCTCAGCACAGCCACCAGTGTGYTCTGTACATGTGCGGTAACCCCAAAAGGGGGCACTCTCCTACCTCGTCCATTGCCTTACCGAGTCCATCGTACCTTCGAACACTTTTTCCCTGTTCTTTCTTTTTAACAGTGTTGGAGGAGATGAAAACATAACCACAGTCACGACACTACCAAGTAAGTGACTTTTTCTATAAATTTGTGGTGCTGTTTATTATTAGAATACCTGCTRTTATCAAAGGAGACAGAAGGAAAGAGTTGCAATTTGTAGCATGACACAAGCAATTCCTTTCTGTTTAATGTCCAGTACTGAGAAAAAGTTGCATAACAACCAGCATGATTTAATTATGTATTTTGTAATTCATAGGTCTTGGCTGTTTCAATATTCTTCTGTTATAGTTCTGTCTAAAGGGTGTGTGGGACAGATCTTAGCTCATAGCCTAAAGAAACTATTTTGACTGTATGGGAAAGTTGTTTTAGGCAGGAGCAGAATCRCATTACAAGATCAGATTTTAAATGCTTTTTAAAGGTCAGGACATTTTAGATCTGAGGTGTTTGTAAGGCTGGTTTGTAACCTAAGATCTAGAAGGGAATCTGGGGTCTTTGGGGTTAATACATCTGGGGACATCAGGGTAAAGGATTTGATTCCAACCTGTCTGCAGTTAGAGCATGATGGCATGAGGATCTTCTGCCTGAGTATATGGTTACTCAGCCTCACTTACCGGGCAAAATGGCATTGCTAGCCAAGGTGATCATGTTAGGTCATGAGATACCTGAATTCATGAAATTCAGAAATCTGGAAGGCAGGGAAATGGTTGTATGGTAATGAATCTCCATGTTTATTATACTTAAAGGGTTGGTTTTTTTTTTTTTTGGATAGCTATCTCTTAAAGCTTTTTAATGGTCTTTTACTAAGGTCTAATCTTTATTGCCTCATTCATTATCTGCTGCAGGAAGCAATATTTTAGGGTGCTATCATTTTTCTGCAGATATTCTTCGTGAGTTCAACCCTTCCTTGGTAGGGTATTCCATTGGCAAAGGAACACAGAATTCAAAGAATGCTGCATTCAACCAAGCCGTCACAGGGGCTCGYGCAGAGTAAGAGGAAAACTTTTAAATTTAATAGAATTTAGGTTTTTTCCATAAAGCTCTTTGTGATTAAAAAAGGCCCAAACCCCGGACTTTGGCAGGAGCACAGTAAGTCTAATAGGCAAACCCAGAGATATCTTTTTATCTTAACTGAAGCATGAAGGCCAAAAAATGTGATGAGGACTTTGCAGTGTTTCTAATCTATGTCAAATAAATTACCCACAAAAGCAATACTTTCTCTAGCATTTTCAACCAAGAAAGCCAAAGCATTTTACAGGCACTACTCAGAAACCTGTCCTSTTGTGAGTCAGTCAAGAGATGCCACCACTTTATAGGAGGTATATTCAAACCTGTTTGTCATCAGGACCAAGGGTTCATGTAGGGAGACTAAGAGAAAAATGTGGATTGTTTAATTCCTGGTCTGTCAGAGGTGAGAATTAACTAGAGATCACTGTGCACAGTCTTCAGTGCAATTCATATTCAACGTTTTTTTCCCATTGGGAACAGTTCTTGTAAGACCTACTTCAGTGGCTTGAGGCCATATAATAACATTGGTACAAGMACAGACACTTCAGAGCTGTGTCTATTGATAGCACCTGTCTGATGGTGGGAAAAGTGCATTTTCTGTATAGCTTGTAAAACTGTAACTGTGCAACATTTGCAAAGTATTGGATAACTTGTTGGATGCTAATTATTTTCTCTTTTTTTTTTTTTTTTCCCATCTCTGTCTCAAAATATAGCCTTTGTTGGGTATCATATATTCCAGACAATTAAAATTGGACTTTCTCTGGGGTTTGGGTTTTGATGTCCATTCATCAGCTTTCCTCTTGCTATCTATGAAAGATACTTTCTTTAAATTTTTATTAATTATTTTTTATTATTYTATTTTTCCTTTATTTTYAGGGATGTTCCTGGACARGTTAGAAAACTGGTGGACCGCATGAAGAATGATTCAGTGAGTTTAACAAGTCATAAATATCTTTGGAATGAAGTCATGGCATCATTCGTTTCTAACAGACCAAGAGCAGATCTCAACAGTGAATGCCAAACTTTAAAGCTCTAGGTACAGCTTTACAGGGTACAGTGTAATACATCCCAGTGCAGTGAGTCAGCACAAAATAATCTGTAGCTTASTCTTAAATGAATTTGTATCAGCATGTGATAGTTAGTATCAAACACAGATAACAATCTCATCATTTTTACTTCAAGTGGCTGTAAATGCAGTGCTGTTRCTTTCCATTATAACCTGTGTCACCCTGTAAGATAACAGAACCTTTTCTCCATGAGGATTTTGCTGTGGAGTTATTAAATATCTTGTAAGCAGGTGGTTTTTCCAGCAATAATGATACATGCTAGGATGTTGAGGGCAAGACTTTCAAGTAGCAAATCATGTGCAGGGAACATGTGAAGTGTGGAAGGGACTTGTTTTCTATAAAAACAAATTAGTTCCTTCTTTCATCTAGTCATCAGCTGATTTTTTTACTTACACATTTGTTGTTAGGAATTATTTGATTAATGGTCTGTAAAAACACATGAGGTTGAAGATTGCTTGCATATTTCTCACTTCAGCTCGTGCTTTGAWTGTTTGCCATTTGTAATTTGACAAATGTGCTGTGCAATCAGTGACCTAAGTTACATTAGAATAGTTTCGCTTTCCAATTGTTTATCTGGAAAGCAGCCAAAAAGCCTTCAAGATATCTGTGTACATGTTTAGTGTAAATACTCTGGTGCATACATATTGGCAAAAATATTTGCAGTACCTTCCTTTTTGGTTCTCTTTCTTGTAAACAAGATTTCAATCTGATGAATGCCTCTGAAATGAGATTAAAAGGAACAGCAACTAACAATGAGGGGTTGGATGGTTTTCATTCAAACCATTCAAGGCTTCTAAGCACCACTCTGTCAAATTTATTGGCCTGAGAATGTTAACAGAAATTAATGGAAGCATCTTTTATTTAAATAGTAAACATTTTTATTTAACTAGTAAAGTCCTCTCTGACTAGAAAGCRTGCTCATAGTAGAGGTCATATATCTTTGATTSAAGAGATYCTTTTTCTCCCCTCTTTTTAAACAGTTGTTGAGTGCAGGAGGAAATTTTCCCCTCTAATAATTTGTTGTTGTACATTTTGAGACCAAACTATTGAACAGTGTATTTGCCAGCTGGGATGTGTTGCCTCCTGTCTTTGAAGAAAGATGCTTTTAAACTACTTGAGGCTGATGCACTATTGCCACTTTTCTTACTGTTGTTTTGCACAGAAATTTAAGCACTAGGATATTGAGCACATCCACAACATGGTAGTAAGCATATCCGAGTCTTTCCTCAAAGCTAAGAAGGTGCTTATTTACTGTAACATAATCACCTTGATTTAGYGAGCTATCCCTTTGCAAAACCCTTGCAGAAACAAAAAATACTGTAATATTTTACCATTATTGTTACATTGAGTTAATATCGTCCCACTGCTCTTCGCAGTTTRTCTGACAGCAAGACTGAAATAAGTTGTCCCCCAGGGTTTTCCAGCAGGATAGCTGCATTATTTATGACACAGTAAAACACATTCCATAATTTTTGTGATGAAGATATATTTCTAGGACTGCAGGAAGAGTCACCCTGATACACAAGATATGACTAAGAAAAGCATTCAGGTTTTGAGCAATAGTTTTCTGAAGGTAAYAGTTTTCCATGATGCCACTGATACTGTAAATGTCATTTAGATCATARCAATTTCTACATCTTCAGTCATGACTACAAACTTGGTCTTGTGGATGCTTAGGGAATGATAACCATGAACTCTGAGAAATGGGAAATTCATGTTTCATATGTTGCCTGCCTCTCCCTCCTTTTCTTTTTTAAATTAATAAATTCTATTCCATCTCCTTCTCTGTGCAGAGAGTAGATTTCCAGAATGACTGGAAGCTCATAACACTTTTCATAGGAGGAAATGACCTCTGCAAATCCTGTGAGAATCCAGTAAGTTCCCTGCTGCCTGCAGTATGAACTGGGCCAGGCAAGCCACAGGGTCTTTATGCATTGCAGGGGATGAGAGGGAGGAACTCGGTGAGTGAGACTGAAATAATTGATGTTTTCACTGTGCAGTGCTGGAATGTAACTGTACTGAGACCTTCAGGTTGCTCAGCATAATGTTTTAATAATTTTGGGGATACCTTTTGAACACCTGTAAATGACATAATTGTTGCAACTTTGTTTTGCTGTTAACTAGAATAACTTTTTGTTGCCTAGTCCCTTTATCTTCTGTAAGTAAAAGGTCAAGGAGTTTTACTCCYCTTTGCCTTGTGCATGGTCACACTTTTATCTATTGCTTGGCGCTTTCTATTTTCAGTGCTGTGGGAAAAGTTCTAAACATAGTTCATGGTAATTCAATTATATATGATGTATTATATATTGTCTATATATAACATAGATAGGATATGTAGCCTTTGATATGTGTGATTGTAGAGGAAGTGGCTGAAAGATGTAGAAGTGGTGTAGAAAGGCTGTGGCAGACTTCTCACTTTGTGCTGAGTGTTACCCACTTACAYGCAGTTGAGCACATAATTCTCATTCTTTGTGATTAAATTTGAATCAGCAAGAACAGCAGAGCAGCTCAGTGAGAAATGGTTATAAAGCAAGGAAGGAGCAAATTAACCATTCCTACCTTCTGCTCCTGATCCAAACACAAAGTGCCTGTTCACATGGCTGGGTGGCAAGGAGAGAACATGCCTGCTTCCAAGGATCACKGTGATCTTCATGTGGCACAAGTATAAACAGTGCCAGCCACAGTGCTCTTGGTGAACTGTGATTTAGGAAATGAATAAGGGATCTGAGCTATTTCTGTAGAGTAGGCAAGTGGGGCTCTCAATGAATTTCTGCTTGAAATTGAATGAGAGAGAAAAAAGGCTGAAAACAAGACAAGCATTTCTCATAAAGAAGCTTATTTGACAGTTGCAGTTTCAAAAGTGAAAAAATAAATGTGGGAGACAATAAAATTAGAGTGTTTAAACCACTGAAATGGAACAAGGAAATTTTGGCGCTGAAAGGCAAGTGATTTCATTTTCAGGTAAAAAACTAAGTTTTACCAGTTATTACTTGTAGCGGGCAAGCAGCATATGGGAGAAATGTTCTTATAGTCCATGCAGCAGAAATAAACTTACTTTTTCTCAAACTGTTCTCTCCCATATATGGTCCCTGTTAGGGAGTTGTTAGCCCTGCTTTTAAGACCAGGCCAAGCAAGCCTGGGGATTGAGGATGTTGTGATATCTGATCATACCTTGTGAATTTTCATCCTCAATGACATCCAATGGCAGCAGGATCTTTTCTTGCAAGTGAGAYAGCTGTGATGGGAAGGAAGAAAAGCAGAGACAGGACAGTTTTGCCTATGACTCTGTTACTTTTGACCCAAGAGTTACAAATATGAACACTACTGTGACAGATTCTAGGTAGTCACTCTTGTGCCGGCCTGAGTAAACTCTTAATATTTAACCCTCTTGCTTAACAGGAACATCATTCTCCTGAAAACTACACCTATAATCTACAAATAGTTTTGGACTTACTTCACAAAGAGGTAAATCAAACTTTTCTAATGTGCTGAAGCAGGGATGTTGTTCTGTTTGCAAAGCAGTCACTGATTATTGATCAGAAATTTATTTCTTTGCTTTCATCTGCAGAACACTACTGTGTGCAGAGATGTTTGGTTGCGTGAAAATCTTTGTGAAAGGCAAAAAGGGCTGGAGAAGTTTTTTTTTTACCAAAGAATAAGAATGTTCTTAGTTCTAGCTGATGTGCTGTGGACAAWTAATATTAAAAAATGTTATAACGAGGTTGAACAAACATGTTATTCATTGACTAGAAAATGCTTTGCTTTTTCTTTAAGCTGCAAATAAGTATATTTTTGTGGTCATTAAGATAGAGATTCTGATATTCCACGGAAGGGTAAGAATGATGAAACTACTTGAAGAGTTAGCAGGTGTCTGGGTCTTACTTGAGACATATAACAGCTTGTTTGGACATTTTTGAAGCCATCAGCATCTAAAACAGAACAAAGCAGTGCAGGTGGGGCCTGTAATTTAGTATTGCATGTGTGGAGGATTAATTATTGAGGAAGTTCTTTGAACACCTCTGTTATAAATAATGCAGGATGCTTGAATCAGCAGGCTGCTACCAAGGTCTGCTGTGGCTGTGTAGCAAACTCTGTGCTCCAGGAGTTTGCTATGAGTTTATTTGCTCTCCTGGCAGGTTCCACGGGCATATGTGAACCTGGTGACAATCCTTTCCRTTGCAAGCCTCCGGGAGCTGCATGCGTCGAAAGACAATAACTGCCCAAAACTGCTTATGAGGTTTGCAGATGATTGATGTTACAGCTCTCATTGTTGCTCACAGAAGGCTGCAACATCCTCTTGGGAAGTTTTTTCTTAAAGGGAAAAAATTCTAGCATTTCTGACCACGAAACACCTTTCTCTGTGCACATGCATGCACCCACATTTTGATTCCAACAAAGCATTTGGGATAACCTGTCTCTACTTCTGTCTCAGAATCTGAGTTCTGCTGTTAGCATTTCTTATGAAGGTGCCATTTTTGACTCCTCACTTACCCTGCAAGTGAGTTCCAGACAAAGCAGCAAGAGCTCAGCTGGGCACTCTTTGGTGGAGATAGAGGGGATGCTAAGACACAAGGCTTTCTAGCTTTTTTTACAGATTTAATTTTCACACTTAAAACTCCCCGTCTTCCTTCTGAAATTTTCAACCTCTGTAACCTCATTGCTGATTATTAGTTTTATCTCTAATTAGTCTCTCAAGTAGATGTTTTGGATGCTTAATTGTGCCACCTGTTGCTTTGTGGCTCAATAATCCTTCCAGGTCAGTGAATCCACTACTGAGGTGGCAGGTCTGCACCTTCAGTGGACTTTTGGTGACTCAGATAAGGCCCAGCATTGTCCCCCCGAGTTGCTTCTGGCAGAACTTGCTTGTTTTCAGAAAAGCAAATCCCTGCTTTTCGGGACAGATGGGGTGAATGGCCTTGTCCTGTGAATGTAGGCAGCCACTGGTTGTACAGTAGGAGCAGAGATGCAACYCTCTTGCTCCGATTTAAGGGCTTTCTTGTGGCTGTCAGTGGAAAATTGGTTTTGAAACTCTGGGTACTGGTGCTCCCAATAGCCAGTTGTAGTCATTTTTATTTRTGTATTTATTTATTTTGTTTTAACAAAGGTTACTGGCCTAGAGCACACAGGTATCTCAAGGTCCTAATCATTGGACAAGGATAGTTAGCAAATCCTTAAAGATTAGATTATCTCATGATAGCTGTAACCTTTTCCCATCTTTTTATGCTGAATTTAATATTTGCCTGTCTGGCAGCAAGCCAAGTTTACAGGGTGATAAGCAGACCCTGTGTGAGATAATAAATGCCATTCCACTGAATGTAAAAAGAAACTTAAGGAGGATTTTGATCTTGAAAGTCTTATCTCGTTTTTTCTGAGTAGTAAACAACCTAAAGAGAAGATGTCTCTACTAATGTTGCCTAACTTCTGATTCTGAAACTCCTGAAAACACAATTTAGATTTCTTATCTAAATTGTTCTCATACAGATGTACCAGGAAAGTAAAATCTTTTGTTATTCTCCATTAAGACAAGTTTGGATGTGGTAGGGATCTTTGTATACTTTACATGTATGAACTGCATCTCTATAGGACCTATTTCTCTAAGAGCTCTCTCAGGGATGCTTTACTGTGGTCATATGGTCAGGAGTCCTCTTCTAATTTGGATTGCTCAAGTAATAATGAGGCATGCCCAGGAAGACAGAACATCCCAAGGAAAATACCCATGTGCTAGAAACATCAAAACTTTAGGGAGGGATAAAGGTGGCCAACCTGAGGCAGAATCTTAAAATGTCTCAGGTTAGAATGGCTCACTAAGGATGGAGAAGTCAGCATCAGTCTTGGTGACTGTTTTGGTGCTTTACCAGCCTTGCTGTGAAACATCCTGTAACCACTGACTCTCTCAGCTGATTAGACTGAATTTGTGGGGACTCTATCTTAAAGGATGATTGTACAGTTCTGCTGAAGCAAACGATGTTTCACAAGTGTACTTATGAACATTTTTTTCTGGTGGGTTGGCCCCAGGTCCCAGTCAAGCACTCCATACAGTCACTCATTCACCCCCCCACCCCCAGCAACATATGGAGAAAACAAGTCTTGTGAGCAGGAAAAGTAATGGGTCAAAATAAAGGCAGGGAAGCCACTTAGTATCTTTGCAGACCTGATTTGGGGAACTTATTTGTGTTTATTGTCCATAAGCATAAACATTTAATTACTGTTTCAGGTATTGGGAAATGAACAACCAAAAATGTTGAACAGTTAAAGCACTGTCCTCCTTCCTTCTCAGGTTCAACTTTGCTCCAAGCATCTCTCTCTCCACCCTTTTTACTGCTGCAGGGTGCCCTCGGTCCCTTCAGTGAGGCATGGCTCAGGGTCTGGATCTGGTGACTCTCTGCCACTCCTTCCTGCTGCCTCTTGTCTTGTGCTCCATCATGAGTCCTACAGTCATGTGCATCCACAGGTTGTGATCCCTTCCAGGAGTGCCTATTCKGCCATGGAGCACCTCTTTCTTACTCCTGCTGTTGTTTTCTCCTCTCCCTTGCTGGTGTTTTCTGCTCTTTCCTAAGTAAGTTTTCACAGAAGCACAATCAGCTTGGCTAAGAGGCTCAGCCATGCCCTGTGGTGTCCAGAACAGGCAGCTGTGTCCAGAACAGGCAGCCCTGGCCGCTCCTCAAAGAGGTCACTCCTGCTGCCAAAACCTTGCCATGGTCGCCCAGTGTGTTTTTTGCTTGCATGGAGCCTTTTCCTCACTTTTTGTTCATTAATTTATCCCTAGTAAATATGTTTCTGCTCAGGAACAGGGGCTATGCAGGGACTCAGGGGTGAGAGGTAATGCTCTCATTCAATGGCCTGTCAAAGAGATCCCTCTCAGAGCTTTTAATCCTGTCACCTCAAGAGCAGAGGGGGAAAAAGAAGAGCAGTTCTCAGTGCCATGCTCTTATCCCACAGGATCCTGTGCCCTTGTGTCATAAACCCTAAGGACAATTCCAACGAATTAAAGAAATTGATGTACTTTAACAGAAGGTATCAGGTAAGGCACATTGCATTTCTTAGAAGTTTAATGCCGTGTTTGATCAAGGKACCACAGATGTGCTAATTTGAAAGTGGGGGACAGTTTCCACTCTTTTTAATGATGTATTTGCAGTTGTGATTAAAAAAGTAGGGTCAAGATCTTTGCACTTCTATTTTCACCAAGCCAACAAAAACAGACAATAAGAAAAATTCTTACAGAGCCGTAGAAAGTAGAGTCTGAGAGAGAGCAGTTTTTTGATCAGTTACGTTATTGGCAATCAGGTTAAGTCAAACAACATGGTAATCCAGGAACAWGCTTTCAAGCACAGCATGCCAGCCAAACCAAAAACAGTTAGGTGGTTCTGGAAGGACATYTTTGTGACAGAAAACCTAATGAGTGAGCAGGCTGCCAGTCCTTGTCAGTCAGGCAGCCATTCCCAGGCTGCCYCTCTGCAAAGAAGCCCAGGGTGGGTGTCCCAAAAAGGCAGCTGCATCAGCTGCCTGGCACAAGCTGAAAACCATGGTCGTGTCTGACCTTCAGGAGGAGGGAGGGGCAACCCCTGGGTGAGGTGTAAATRGATGGAGCAACTTGATAAGCTGAACACAGAAGGAGGAATGACAACTTTTCTTTGACTCTCTAGGAGAGAACCCGCCAGTTAGTGGACAGTGGAAGGTATGACACGAAGGATGATTTCACAGTGGTTATGCAGCCATTTTTGACTAATATGGAAATGCCAAAAACACAGGTAAAACAAACAAGARAACCACAGCTACATTAAATCTTGGTGCAATGACACTGACTTGTCAAAATCGTTTTAGCTGTAAATGTAGCCAGCAGTTTCCTGATGTAGTCCTTATTATATTCAGTTAACATCCAAAATTGCAGAAAATGTTTATGGAATTGTGGAGATAATGGGCAACAGGAATACAGCCTTGTTTTGGGCCACTGCAGTTGGACAACCGTGAAGTAGATATTTTAGTTCAAAGTCTTCATCAGGAAGCACTTGCTTTATGTTCCTTATATATCAAGTCCTTTCCAGTACTTTGATAAATGACCTTTGGTATGAAAACCCACACGTTTCAAAGCACTGTAATGTGWAAATCTTGAGGGAAATAAAGAATACAATCCATATCTGTGCCCAGGTACTCTGTACTCAGTGTCACAATGGTCTGTATTCCTTATTACTTTGGGAATATTTCATTAAAAATTTTTAAAAGGCTTCTTAGGTCAGAGTTACTAACTTTCTATGGCCTGGTTTAATTCTCTGTGCCTCAGAGGCCTTTGCAGGTACATTGTTTAGAAGTCAGCTGGGTTATCCCACTGGAAGAGAGAGGACATAAYGCACAGCTTGTTGCATATTTGCTGYRTCTGTGACAGCACCTATTTTATTTTCTAGGAGGGGTYTCCAGATGCTTCATATTTTGCCCCAGATTGTTTCCACTTCAGCCAAAAGGCTCATTCTCAGGCTGCACGGGCTTTGTGGAACAACATGGTAAGATTTTTAAGGGTTGTGTTTGTCTCTCTTCGTTCACTTCATCATGCCCTTGGCAGCATAAAAACCTCTAGAGTGCTACTAGGTAGCCAGCCATATCTCTTCTGAATTGTGTTTACTAAGGAAAAGAGTGATCATATGAAGAAAGGTCACCTGAATTGTTAAATTAGTCCCATCAAACCAGCAAATCTCCAGGGGTGTTAAGGCTGGGTGTGTTGGGACTTCTCTCAGGAATATGATGCTTGCCAGGATCATTGATTAGTGGGCCACAGTCAAGGTGTGGGAATTGGCCTCTTCAGCACACAAAGAAACAGTGCATGGAGGCAGCTGTCAGAATTGGTTCAGTGCCCTGCAGTTGGCTTGCTGTGCTGCCAAGGTGGTTTCCAGTGACTGGCAGCACAGCATCACCCATTGCTCTCTGGTACTCATCTGCTTCTCCTCTGTGCATCCTCCTTTTTCCCCTAGCTGGAGCCTGTAGGGGAGAAGACAGACAATCAGCACATAGAAGATGAGATTGTTCTCAAATGTCCATCTGTGGTAAGTTACAGAGGTGTCTGTGTTTATGTGGAGGCACTGACTGGGGGTCTGTGTGAGCCTTTACCCACTGCCTGGAGCTCTGTCTCTGGGAGGGTGGTCTGCTCCTCCCTACACAGTTTGTGCCACTGCCATTAAGAGTAATATGAGCACTTGCCCAGGAGATAATGGAGGGCAGGCAGGAGCAAAAATTCCTCACAATCACACATCACAGCTGGCCAAAACAAGGGAAGGGTGTTTGCAAACTACTTGTTAAGCACACGCAGCAGGATCCTGAGGGTATTCT